GGGCTCCATCCCCAGTGGGGGGGCGTGCAGGAGGCAGCCGGTCCATGGTTCTCTCTCAGCATTGATGTTTCTATCTCCCTCTCCCTCTCTCCCTTCCTCTCTGGAATCAATAAAATAAAAATATATAAAATAAGTAAACAAAATAAAAAATAAAATAAATGGAAAACATAAAATATGTTTATATTTTATATAAATATAAAAATATGAATATATATATAAAATATATTTAAAAATTTAAACAACAACCACAACTACAAAAAACAACCCTGAATCCACAGCTGTGGAATTGGATCCTTGAGGGAAGGCTGAAAAAAAAAAGTACCATGTGCAGGTGTGCAATTTGCACTAATTGTAGCATTGGTTGTGTTGACAATAAAACCCACGTGGCCTTCTCCAAAAATAAATAAATAAATAGATAACTAACTAACTAACTAAATAAATAAATAAATTTTGGCACAACTATATTAATTTTTAAATAAATAGCCATGATATGTACACCAAGTTTTATTGCCTTTAAGTAATACGAATGTTAGTCAATATATTAAATTTTCTTGAATTTGACAGAAGAAAAAGAAACTGAAGTGAAACTGTAGGAATTGCTGAACTTCAGACAAATGTTTCTTCAAAACAAGAGATATTAGTTCCTAAAAGATTCTTCTAAAGTTAAAAAAAAAAGATTAAGAAAAACATTAAGCCATTGGGTTACTACATTTAAAAAAAACCCACATGTTTCTACATATACATATGTTTACCTTTACAGATTGTAAACTTCATCTCCCATCTCATAAAACTCAGAAGACTCCCCTGATGTCTAAACTAAGCAAAAATAAAAGCCTTTTTTTCATATTAAAAACTTTAAAACCTAAAAAAAAGAAAAAGAAAAAAAAAGATTCTTTCTTGGGAGGGGGCATGGCGCCTGGGGAGAGGGGGCGTGGCTCCTGGGGAGAGGGGGCGTGGCGCCTGGTGAGAAGGGGGCGTGGCGCCCGATGAGAAGGGGGCGTGGCGCCTGCAGGGAAGGGGCGTGGCTTACCTGGCAGATGCCACTGATGCACATGTCCAGGGAGTCGCTATGGCAACGCGTCCCGTCCAGCACCTTGGGCGCCAGCTCCACCACCAGGGTCTGGCCGCGCGCGTGGCACTTGAGCGCGCAGGGCGCGGCGGGGTCGTTGTACCGCGGCAGCCACTCGTAGTAGCGGCCCTGGTACTGCACGTCGTTGTAGGCGGAGCACTGCTGGGCTCGGAAGTCCTCGGCGTCCGGCGGGCAGTCCTGGCGGGAGAGGTCAAGGGTCACCCGTGACATGGGCTCCATGGGAGGCTGGGCACGTGGGCCCCCGTTCCATGCGACCAGGGCCCACCTGCCTCTCTCCCGGGAGCCACCGCCTTCCTTCTCAACATTCAAAACGGAATCCGTAGCCCCAGCCAGTGGGGCTCAGTGGGTAGAGCGTCCGCCTGCAGATGGAAGGGCCCCTGGTTCGATTCCGGTCAAGGGCACGGACCTCCGTTGCAGGCTCACTAACTGGCCTGGTCGGGGCTTGTGTGGGAGGCCACCCATAGATGTGTCTCTCTCACATCAATGTTTCTCTCTCTGTGTCACTCCCTCTCCCTTCCACTCTCTCTAAAAATCAATAGGAGCCCTGACCGGTGTGGCTCAGTGGCTAGAGCGTCGGCCTGCGGACTGAAGGGTCCCGGGTTCGATTCCGG